TGGATATAAGTCTTACATTAGTTTTATTCTTTTTAGGAATAATGAATACTCTATATTTTTTCCCAGTGTTATGGGAACACTCTTGCTCTTAAAATATTGTTATAAGTTTCTAGCGGAATTTGTAAAGCTTCACTTAGCAAATTGAGAATTATGTAGTCTATGTCATTCCGTCCCGGGCTTGGGTGGATTCTGAGATTTTTAAACGCGAAGTTGAGTTCTTCAGTTGAGTACTCTGAGTCTATGAAGGGGTCCTGAGTGCCATGAACGAATGCCTGTGCTTGAATCGAATCATCTACCCCAGAACATAGCTTTTCATGTCTTTTTGGAGGAAAGAACCAGTTCTTCATTTTATTCGTGTCCCATTTCTGTCTCTTTCATTCTAAACTGTCATCTTTTCATTATATCCCAAATGTACGACAGATTTGAGAATTTATCTGTACTCTTACTGTACTTGAGATTTCACCCCTTATAACGTACTAGGAGAACAACCCGTTGAAATTAGTGACAATTTGATTATATTAATATATTTCTTATATTGTATCTGGTTCCAAAAAATTTCACCTCTTACTCTGAAAATACAACTACAAATCAGAATTAAATAATGTAGACGAAAGAATAAAGTTCAGATGTTCTTACAATAAATAAACATCGATTCAGCTCTTTGTTTATTTAAGTCTTATTTCCTCGAGTTTAAGATACCATCGCCTGTAAAACGCATCGACTTCGCAATAGGTTTTTCAAGAAGGAAGACGCTATCCTCGGTGAAATGCACGCTTAATTTTTAGGCAGGCAGCAGTGATATGAGTCCAAGCTCTGCTCGCATGTGTAAACCACAACTCCATGGGAAAAAGACCCTGTGATATACGTGTACATAAACTACTAAATTCAGCGAAACTGAGAAAGGCTTGTGGACTTGATGGTATTCCAAACGAACACCTCAGAATCTTTAAGGAGGCCAGTTGTACACCTGACACATTATATTTAATTACTACTTTCTGCTGTCCCATTTTCCAAAGTCTTGGAAGGAAGCAAAAGTCATAACGTTACCGAAACCCGGCATGGACACAAAATTCCCTCAAAATTTACGTCCGATTAGCCTCCTGTCCACAACAGGCAAGCTATTTGACAAAGTTATTCTGAAAATGGTACAAAAAAACATTTAAAAAAATAAGCCTACTTAATGCAAACCAGTTATTTTCCTTGCCCATCACAGCACGACACTTAAATGTATGAGACTTACAGGCGTCACCTTAAATTTCAACAATAACATATTTAAGGCTACTGAAGAAGCCTTTGATACAACATGGCACCTTGACTTCCTGTTAAAATATCAGAATTAGAATTTTCGATTGGAAACCTAAACCTAGTGAAGACTGCAATTCTGCGTGTGCTGTAGTGATTTCTAAGGTGTTAACTAGTGAGGCTGTTCTAGTTACTTGCAGTTAAAAAGAGTCCAATAAATCCAATTACCAATCTCATCCTTTACCTAGTTCTAGTTCTGGTGTAATTTTTCTCTCATTGTAACAAGACAAATTCCAGGCAGCACAGTAGTTCACAATAAAATTTTCATTTCTTAAGGGGAAGAAAATAGTTTATGAGAACACTGGGCCATCTGTATGTCCTGCCACAGTTCAACTTTTGAAACATTACCGTAACAGATTTCACAAAATTTTGTCTGAACACTATCATTGCAGGCCACCACAACCTAGCACTCTTAAATTTCTACAATTAGTAATACCAACAAGGCTGATGCACAGATCATATTTAGCTTCTGGTTTAATAATAATTAACTAATGAACCACCAAAGCTAGGCAGGCAAAATTCAGCATGGAGATCAAATTAGGCACCAGAGGTTCCATTGCTCCCCACTATATTAAAATGTTTGCTTTTCTGAATATAAAATATGCTGTGATTACAAAAATAAAAACAATGTAAAGTATGATGATAATATAGTTAATTATGGTATGCTTCAAACATAAGGATATCAAAACAAGCTAAATGCATATGATACAAATGTTCACATAAGCAACTTCAGCAGCAAGTCAGAAGATGGGTGTCTATATACAGGATGTACTCCAGAACCATGTTTTTAAAAAGTCCTTTGGTGGTGTGGAACCTGAATGTGAGACGGGTCAGTTTTCTTGTTAGCTGGCAGAGACCTTTATTACTGTTGAATTATGAATGGAAACATTCAGTAGCATCTTGAATAATTTTATATAGTACATGGAGTCATTCTTCTGTTCCAGTATGGTTGTGCCACTTTATCTTTTTAAGATCTCCAACAAGTAACTTGCTCTCAAATTTCTTATACAGTGCAATTAACATATCTACAGAGTCCAGTAAACGTCATTATACACAGAAAACCAGCATGTATATTACACAAAAACTCTTAGCTGCAAATCCTACAAGACTAAGCAGGAAGTACTGCAAAGATTTTAACCAACAATTATACTGGCAGCACCCTAACATTATGTGACTTTTACATGTGCCCTTCTTTTGTGCTAGTCTTACTTATATTTATGTTTATACAATCAACATAGCCAAGATGAATAAATGTGAATGCATAATTTGCACTTGACAGGCCAATGGATCCATTAAGTAAAATTCCATGTATGAGAGATACCATTTTCTGTGATGTGGTGCAGTCTGGTAGAAGTTCACCAACATTTGAAAGGAATGTATTGCCTCCACATTCAGGGTTGAAGCAAGCAGGAAGCTGAAGCAGCTCACCAGATGTATATTCTCTCATAATATAAATGCTTATCCATATTTTCATTGGGTCCATCGTGTTTTGTTTCAGACATATTTTGTATATAGGAATTAGGTTATCCGTCACACAACAAACATACTAGACGGGCTCCATGACCTGTCCTAACTATATGTAGAAGCTTCTGACAACAAAGATCTACAAATGCCATAACATGCCTAATTCTATACTGTAGCATTGGAACCTTAGAATTAATTTGGCATACATATTCTCATATTTAATAGTTTTAATATTTCTGTATTATATCACATACTTAAATCACCTAATATACCTTAGATACATGGAATATATTTGATTTATTTTTATCTTCAATTTTACATTTAAATGAGGTAAATTATGTTATTACATAATATGACATGTTGCACTGGTATGGATCCATTATCGATAGGTCAATGACTAAATGTATTCCTATATTAACTGCCTGTTGATGGTCTTGTACGACCGAAAGCTGTAGCAGGAATAAAAAGTCTAATTGTAAAACATTAAAAGCAAGTATATTTATTGTATGATGGTTAACCTAATTCCTATATATATGGTTTTTCCAGATATTTAAGTATTTGAGGACCTGAAGATGGCACGTATGTGACTATATATTGTGATACTGTATTTTAATGTATTTCTATTTTGTCTCTGGTCAAACTCTCCCATGTAATTTCTGCTGCCAGACACTGCAGACTCTTGAGAGTTCTTTGCCTCTGCTGCTGACACATAGTATTTCTCATCTGATGTAGTGTGTGTGGAGTGGAGTGGAGACTGTCAGTCTCTCTGTCATGGTGGGGCCAGAAATTCCGTCTCCTGAAGGGTGACCAAATTGTTCTCTCTTCTTCAATTCTTTTACTTGCACAGAAATGGAAATATTTTTCTGCTGACAGATAAGGTGCCAAAGAAGTCTGTTTTCTTTGATTTTAGGCAACACGCTAACACTATAGACTTATAAAAATTACCCATCCAGACTGTTGGCCGCAACTTAACAGTGGTCTCCAAGAGTTCAATTACTACTCACATAGCTGCAGTTATATTTGTGTCAGAATTTACAAACACGTTAGTCGGTTCCATACTTTCTTCTGTATAAATTAAGGAAAAGACATTTCCTGTATCATATTCACAGAATCCCGATTTGTTAACTATTTTTTTTAGGAATATATTGCTTGAAACAAAAAAGGCATTTCCACAGAGTCAGAGATATGTCTAAAGCAAAATCGTTGTTTGGAAAGTAAATATGTTGGTTCTTTTCATTTTTTGTTCAACTGTTGAAGAACTGGCTAAATTTTGAAAATCTAGGAAAACTTGCATATTCATTTAGTGTGGAATACATCAATGAAATGAAGAAATTGAACTATGATTTCCAGTCTTTCCAGGGATAAAATTTCAGAAAGAAAAAAGCACGTAACAAGCAGACAGTTCTTCTTGCAGATGACCTTTACATTGATTTCTGTAAAATTCCCATCAGCACGAACAGGGACAAACTAGTGTACATCTCATTCGCTGTAATATCTTGCCATTTCCTGAAATGTGAGGGAGTGACACATTTTGTAATCTTATATGACATCATATTTGTTGATCTAATACGTTCCATATAATTCAACATCCACATCTGCAGTACTAAACTGTGGTTTACAAATACCACAAAACACTTCCTGTTTATCAGGATTTGTTGCAATATAACCTCTATAGCCACTATCACTAATACTGAATTCCGGAATACTGAATTCCCCGTTCATCTGAATTGTACCCACTGCTTTCACACACCTAAAATTTGATCTAAAACTTCATTTCTTTTCTCTAAATCTGCACACACCAAGGTATATGCCACAAAATTCGCTTAGTAGGGGGTGGAGTCCAACTGGGTCCACTCGGCACGGCAGCCACTGATTGGCCTATTGTAGCCTGCCCCAGGTGACTATGATGATGGAGAATTTGGTGGAATGAAGATTGGCAGAGGAAACCGAAGTACTTGGAGAAAACCTGCCCCAGTGCCACTTTGTCCACCGCAAATCCTACTTGACAAGACCCGGGATTGAACCCGGACCGCCACGGCGGGAAGCCAGCGACTAACTGCTCAAGCTATGGTACGGCCTGGCTAGAGACCAGAGAAGTGCTGCCGGTAGTTAAAATAGTGTATAGGAAACCCAAGCAGAGTGTACTAACATCCGGCATATCACCTAATCACACAGAAGCATTAATTACAAGGTAATGTTCAGGACATGGAAGGAGCCAAATAAAATAATGAACATATTGGAAAAAGGCTTCTGTATTTACAGGATTTGCACAGCAGCTATGAATTTTGGTCGCTGATCATAATCTTGTACAAAACTGTTATGAAGAACATACTGTTACAAACTAGTCACATGACACCACATCTAAAGAAGATTTACACTGTCCAGATAAAAAAACAAAGACATAAACATTAGAGCCAAATACAATAATGACTGATAACTGACCATCAATCTACATATAAACAAATGAAATTTTTATTGTAGCTTGTAGTTTTATAGCTTAGAATATTAAGGATTTATTTTTAAATCATGGCTAAAACAAATAAGGCATGTCACATTGTAAATTTAGCTTTTGTAATGCAGAGGTGACCAACTAAATAACTCGTAAGGCTGGCAGCAAAGAGGTAACATACTAGTAATGGCAAAGAATTTTTCCATCTCCATAAACATTCATAAGTATCACAGGCTTCTGCATACAGAACAGTAATTTTTGCCACTATTTATGTGTATTTTGAATTTTTAAGGTAGTTTTTCTAAAGTTAAAAACCACCTAACATACTTTTACTTTTTCAAACTTAACTTCATAGTATTGTTGAGCTGGAAGATTAGTTATATCATTCATAGCTAAAAATAATGAAAAACGAAACTGACTCAACCATTAAAATTTCAGCCACAAAACGTGCCATGTTATGTAGAATAATTCCAATTTGTAAGCAGCATATTTAAATGAAGTTAATACTATAACATCTTAACACAAAATGTTCCACTTCTAAACAAGTCTTTAGAACTGGAATGAAGCAAACTCAAATGTAGTAATCATATGGATATTTAGCACAGACAAGGATATCCACAACCCTCTTTAAGTAGGTATCATGTAAGTTTTCTTTTAAATGCATTTCTTTTGGAGCTATGCTAGTACTAAAGAATCAAATGATTCTGCATCAAATGGTGCAGTATACACCATCGTCAGAATCCTTTCGAGTCTAACCAATCAAATGATACTCAAAATGGGTGTGACAAGTTACAATATTGATGGTGGCGATGATGATGATGACATAAAGGAACTATGTATTTATAAAAAAGTACAAAATCTGTATTTGTATAAATGCTTCAATAATAATTTCCACAAATGCAATCCTCAAAAGGGCACGATAATCCATGCCACTTAATGAAGTGCACTTCTCAAATTAAATACACTTACGGCAGGTAACATAGGCTCTTTCAGGTTCTAGTATAACATTATATTGGATGTATCAACTTTGAGATGGCTGCTGGTGTTCAAACTGCTGCTAAACATATCACAGGAGGCTCTAAAATGACAATAAAGATGCCAATGTGTTGGTCACCGTTATCATTAACCGCCTCTTTTAATGTCAACAAAAATATTATAGTAATCTATGTACTGTTTATATGGTGAATAAAATATCGAACAGAAAATAATGTATGATATAAAATACCTTCTGTTTTAATGTATACAAAGGTCTCCAGAGTTCACTGTATGTGGCCACTCAACCAGCGTTATTTACATGAAGTTAATCACAGGCTTTGCATGGATGTTTCACGCTGTATTTTGAAATGACAATTTTTGTTACTGTTAACTGCAATGAAATAGAAGGTAGATGGCATATCAAGTACTCTGCAGCAGCTAAAGTATATCCAAGACAATTTCACTTGTGTCAATTTTGAACTTGATATGCACTTCTCACAGGAGCTGTTTGCTGCCAACAAACATAAATCAAAACTAACTTATCAAGTAAACTGCATTAGGGAATAGAGAAAAAATTGTATGCATAATACAAATATCGTGTACAGAACACTGGAAGACTAAAACATGCAAAATGTATCATGAAGGCATTTCTTGGAAGACAAAAGAAGAAAAAAATTATGAGTATTTACCAATTGAATTCATGCAAATTAACATACCTATTTGACTAAATATATTTTTAAAGGTTACAACACATGAAACAGTCTGAGGTTCAGCCTGCTTCTAACCTGAATGCTAGAAGAAGTCTATCTTGTAAACAAGAAGCTGTTTTAAGCTACCAATGATCTACGTTGCAAAGAAAACTGAAAACCTTAAGAAAATAATATAATACTTAATTCTAAATCATTTTGCCACAGATTATCCACTCTGCATGTTATCATATTTAAAAACTTAGGGGAGAACAGTCAAATTACAACATAAGGTATTATTTATTTATTTTATCTTAATTGGTGACCTGATATTTTTGACACTAAAATGTCACCTTCAGGGTATCTCTTCAATAAATACACTGGTGAAACTAATTCACAGTACTGTACATAAAACTTCAAAGCTTATTAAAACGTTAGCCCAACAAATGCAGTAACACCATGTTATAATACAAATTAAGCATTAAAAAATTCTTCTGGCATAAATTTTGTACCCAAAGTTCAACAGACTAACTCTTCTATAGTTTTTGGACCCTTTGTGACCTCTTTTTGCCTTCTTCCATTCTTCAGTAGGTTTTTCTCCGTCGCATATTATATTTAGAGTCTGGGCAATCAGGTTAGGCACAGTTGAAAGTAATTACATTTTGTAGCAAAGCACTATATCAAGCAAGATACTTTTAAAAAATAAAACGAGAGGACAAAGAATTTTTCATACCTTGGTTACAAGTTATCATTCCAAAGTAAAAGGAGATATACAAAAAAATCACAAAATACAACAAAACTATGGGTATCATAATTATGATTTTGAAACCAACACTGGTATAAGAACATGCACCAAAATGCCTGCATAACACCACAGCATGGCTAGTCCTATGCTGTAGAAGCGAGATGTGGATCATAAGAAACGGTGCAAAATAAAGTTCATGAGAAGAGTGGACAGTTTTATGAAGCGGGAACACACAAGAAATATTTTGACACAACTCAAAAGACGAAAATTGTAACAGACTACATTAAACATTACAAAGAAAACTAGAGGGTCACGTAAACAGAATAAATGGTAAAGATCCCCAAAAGCAATTTTAAGACGAAAGGGAAGAAATCAACAGGATATCTGATGAAAAGACGGAGGGAAAACCTGAGACCATAAGAGGCCCTAAGGCCTGCTGTTGATGATGATGGTGGCGCTGGAAAAGGAGAATGGAAAGGATATTAAGAAGAGGTATCCTATGCAATTCAAAGATCCCGATACTCAGATATATATATATGTGTGTGTGTGTGTGTGTGATGTTGCCTCTGGCCTCCTTCACTTTCTTTTTAACATACCATCTATATAAACCTCTACATGACTCTGCAACTGCATATATGAATTTATTAACACTTAATTGGTTGTAACATGATGCTACTTCATTTGTTGGACTAACTTTCTAATAAGCTTATAATTTTATGAGCAATACAACAACCTCCAGTCAGTTCTACCAGTGTATTTACTGAACGAAAACCCCCTTAGGATGACATCTGAATGTCAGAACATACAGTGCCACCAATTAACTTAAATAATTATATAATACCTTATGCTGTAATCTGTGATCTGATATATGCTAAAGGGATGGGAGAGAAGGGGGTGGGCAGGCAGGCTGATTTCACAAGTTAATGCTCTCCTGTGAGACTTCTTTTCAGGTTTAGCACTCAGTCTAAGCAGATAATTTAAACACAGGCATTACTGGAAGAGAATAGATAAAAAGTGATTAACCAGTTTGTGATGTATTGTAAAAATGTAAAACCAAACATTATAAATATTTCTATCCATGAAAAATAACATACATTATACTAAAATGTTTTTGTTCTAAGTGAGCAACATTTATGGTCATGTCTTGACATGTGCATTGCAGCATGTTTATATTTGTAAGATATAAGGCAACTTACATATTCAATGGAGGTTCAAGAGATAAAAGTCCTTCCAAATTAACTTGAAGGCATCTATCATAAACTATATTACATTAACCAACTTGACATGTACAAGAAAAGTAATACATCTGAAGAAACATCTTTGCAGTTATCTCAGATCACTGCAATAGAGACAGAAGCTGTTCATGGAGAGGCCAATACCGATACCCAGATAAACACAAATTACAAAATGAAAACTGAATTTACCGTTTCTTTTGCTTTTCCCCATTTGAGCACCAAATTCTTATCAGTTTCGTTATTAAATACTGCACAGCTACTTCTAATGCATTATACTCCCAAAGGCTTATCATCAAATGGAATAAACCAAAGAGGAGCAAATCACTGGTCCATAAACATGGTTTCTCAGCTTTAATCTAGTTCAACAATTCTGAGACATTAAGCTTAATTTTCTAGCTCTTATACTGCAAACAAACTGGCCGTGGGCTGGACAACTGAGGGTTCAGAGTTCAAGGTCAAGAATTTTCTCTTTTTCACGTCATCCAGACCAGCTCCGGGGTCCACCTGATCTCTTAACCAATGGGCGCTGGGAGCTCTTTCTCCCTGAGAGTAAAGCGGCAAGGGCATGAAGCTGACCACTCACCTCCATCTGGGGCCAAGCTCAAGAAAATGTGGATCTATACATCCACTCCCCCACATGCCTTCATGGTGTAATGCTTAATTCCTTCAGCACAGGACAATTTCACGTTTTCTTTTACCTCATACCGCAAACACTCACAGACATGTTACCTCAAATCTTTCAATAAAAACAAGAAATAAACAATTTTATTGAAGTTAACAGAATTTGTTTCAAGCAGAAAATAACTTTGTGGATATTATATACATATCTCTTTACTGAAAGCTGTCACAACACAACAATTAATAATATATGTATGCAGTTTCAAGTTGTGCTTTACTACATGTTTTGGCTTTCAAGAAGCCATCATCAGGTAAATACACTTAAACAACTTTTTAGCTATTGAATTGCGTGCTAATTACACGATGTAGTATTAGATTACAACAATATAAAATATAAAGTTACAATGAAAGTAAAACTTAAAATGAACTAGTTACATAATTAAAATACAGTTAAGAGCTGTACATATAATTATATTTCAAAGTAGGTAGTTTTAATCGTAATATGTGGTATGTAACCGTTCCACTGCTATGCAACCTATTTAAATGTAATTAATTTTATTAATTAGAAATTTTAATTGTTCACAATGAGATGCAATGAACAAGTGTAGTGAGACATAGGTCTATTCTTGCATGTAAGAGTTAGTGTCTTCCCACATGTACAGCAGAAACAAGAAGACACCCCACTGCGAGTTTTAGAAATTTTACGTGAAAGTGTAACTACGAAATCTTTTGTGAATTCAATACTTGACAGCTTGTGCGTGCTGTAACTTAAAATAGTGAAGTTTTAATGGCCCAAGCGAAGCTTCACATTTGTCAAGATTCTGAAAGAAGTATGTTGGAGCTCGGAAACCTAGACCCCAAGTAAGCTTTAAACGGAGTGGGGGAATAGCTAATTAAGATACTCCTATTTTTTAAATGTGACCAATCACTAAAATTTAAGGGTGTGGCAGAGCCAACACACTGATGAAACAAGGACTTGATGGTTCGAAGGGAAGTCAGTTGTCGAAGGCGGTCACACAGCGGCACTCGTAGAAATCAGTCGGTAAAAGTCACACACAGACACTCGTAGAACTCAGACGTAAAAGGCACATACACCGGCCCTTGAAGAAATCAGACTTAAAAGTCACACGCCAGATCTTGTAGAAACAAGAAGTAAAAGTATACTGGTGTTAGTCAGTTGTACAGTGTTACGAAGTGACTAAACAAGTGAATAATAATAATAATAATAATAATAATAATAATAATAATAATAATAATAATACGTCTCACCTGTTATGTGCTGTTGTACTTGTAGTTTGTGTTTATTTCTTGCTTCTTTAAGTTGTGGCCCATTCAAGGCTCTGAGATAAGAGAACCTCAGCTCTACCGAACCAACAAACCTCACCTCTTTTGTAAATCAAATAACCCTGAGATAAATTTCGTACAAGAGAGAAGATAATAATTGAGTTTAACAAAAGGTAGGTGAGAGTGCAGTTACAAAGAGTGGCATCACAACGAAGAGGCTAGAAAAGGTACTGTTAAAAAGCAGAAGTGTTAAAGGTAGGCAGAACAGACCACTGTGGTCGAGGTGCTAGGGCCAAGAACGCCCACCTCTTATACATTCATTCATTCATTATATGTGGTGGTGCTTATGCGGACATGTTGTATAAACAGACGGTTGTTATGGTGCTCAGAGGTCCATTGCTATATTGTAACTTATTATTTAATTTTAATTTTTATTTGACAGGCATCAACATGTCCGCATAAGCACCACCACATTACGATTACAACTACCTACTTTGAAATATAATTATATGTACAGCTCTTAACTGTATTTTAATTATGTAACTTGTTAATTTTAAGACTTTTACTTTCATTGTAACTTTATATTTCATACTATTGTAATCTAACACTACATCGTGTAATTAGCACACAATTCAATAGCTAAAAAGTTTTTTAAGTGTATTTACCTGATGATGGCTTCCTGAAAGCCAAAACATGTAGTAAAGTACTACCTGAAACTGTATATATGTATATCTATATTATTAATTGTTGTGTTGTGATGGCTTTCAATAAAGAGATATATAATACATAACAGGATGTATTCACTGAAAATTATATATACATATATATGTCATAATAATTTAATTATGTCACATAGATAACTAAAGTGCGAATATAATCTCAACAGCTAACGAAACATCCATCCTTAGCCAGAAACAGAAGGAGTGAACCTATCTGCCAAGATGTTTAAGGGGGCCTAATGATAAGACAGATGACGCCCCAAGGCCTCCCAAGTTACATACTGCAGGATTACGTGCCCCGTCTACTGATACTATCGGCAATCCAAAATAGCCTCCAGACTGGCTCACTAGTTGTGACAGAGGGACATAATGATGTATTCCAAGGCCAGCCAATCGGTTCAGAGCACCTGGGGCCTTCAGATCTACTACAGGTATAGCTAATTCAGCACCAGGTTGAACAGCTGGCTCCTTATGATATGCCTGCCTGTGCTGGAGCAAACCTTGCTGTGTTGGATACTGTGCTGAACACAGGCTGCATCTGGAACAAAATGTACAGTTCATTCATAATGATATTATTGCCACTTTCAAGATCTCTGTCCTTTGGTGAATTCCTTTGTCGCTCACAACTTACACACACTCACTGCTCACTGCAATATTTATTACATAGTAGGAACGTATTAAAAACTGAATTCTAGGAAAACAGAAGCAGAAAAAGATCCTTGAAAATATCAATGAACAGTATGCTCATTTTGAATCATATAAACTGTAACTAAGGTGACAAGGAAGCTTCAATGGCATGTTCCTTTCTATTTAAAACTAATTCCCTCCTTGGTACCAACTTTATGGAAAAGCTAATGCCAGAAATCCCCTCGCCTCAGTTACTTACACATGTCTTTGTGGGCAAGTGTAACAAGATACAGTCATCCTGACATTATTTTGTGGTTCCTTTGTCTTTCCATGCAAATGACAAAGCAGTGCCATGAAACAGTCTCATCCTTATTCTTCCCAGTCTGATCAGAGTCTGGGTATCCTGACAAATTCTGTATTTTTCTCAGCCTCTTCAGGGCTGTAATTCATTATAATTTACTAAATGCTTTCTTTGGTTGAAGTACCATACAATACAGTGCATATGCCGCCCGACTATCAATCCTCTGAACTTTATCATTCTCTTTTACCTCAATTCAAATTTGTACTGATTATAAAAACTGTGAACCTTATGATAGGTGCTTGTGTAGTCATCTGACTCCATGAATTTCACAATAAGAACACTGTTCAAGTTAATACCCTCTGTTAGTCTACGCCCACATCCTCTGCACCTACTTCTAACTCGCTGTTCACACTTATTCTCACACTTAATGACGAAAGCAATACACATTTTTAAATAACAGATCAGTCAACATATAAAATTAAACTAACAGGCCAGTCTATGACTATCAATTTTTCTGGGATAAAGTATGACACTCCGAACAAATCACAGATGGACACCGCGCCATGTGTCTCTGACCTGACTTGATCCCTATAATTTCGTTGACACAGTTTCGCCATGTCTGACCACTCTGCTTCTGTTCTTGCAGGTGAATGTGATGGTTCATTTGGCGAGTCACATGATCTACAGCGAAACAGTTTATAATGCCTACCAAACAACTATAATTATGTGCAGACAGTACTTTTGAATTCACACTTCTTACACCAGTGTCCTTTCAGTCCCTTCAGCTCTAATCAACCCAATTACCCCCATTGTGATGCAGATGTTAGTAATCTTGAGTCATACTATGTTCATCTTGGGATCACCTGCTACTCCAAGGTTTTTCAAGGCTTTTCCCAATTCCTCCATCTAAATCCTCAGGAACACTTTAAACTGTGGGATAACGGCGCCTTTTCACATCCTGCCACTGAATGTTACATACATCATCATAAAATACACCAATATATAACTTACCATCTAACAATATTGATGACAATTAAAAGTTTGATTATAATGTCACCATAATTACCCCATTTTCAGCTTTCGCATTCTTTCAATAAATGAAAATGTCTCTACTTACAATCAGGACAATTCTCACCTATATGGAAGTTTGCCAGGGCTGCGATGCAGAGTCATATGCTGAGTCAGGCTCTCCTGCGTTGAGAATGCTTTGTCACATACTTGGCATGTGAATCGTCCCATTATACTTCTACCCCTTCCTCTTCCTCTAGAGACACTATGCAGTAAAGGGGGTGGAGGTGGACCATCCCCTGTCAAGTCAACAGTAGGAGGTCGAGGTGGACGTTCCATCTGCTGCTGCAGTGTTCGGCTCACATTTCCTCGCCCATGAGGCACGGCAAAATTTCCCTGTGATTAGGCACAGAATAATTAAAACTACAAATGAAAGGCAAAAGAAGGGAAAAAACACGTAGTGCACACACACACACAACATTCCAAATACAGTTCATACTAGTGTCATGTCTTTATTCCCTCTCAACTTGCAGCATTACTCATCACTGAGTCACAAAATGTGAAGGACACACTAAAAACATTCCAACAGGGAGTGAGACATAGGTAAGAGCTTGGTTCCTGTCTATGTATGTGATGAAATCGTGTTACACTAAATAAATTCAACAAGTATTGAACACTGTTGTGAAAATATGGAATTTGCACTGAATAATCTGACCATGAAAAATCGAGAACATAATGTTTATGAGGTACTGCTGTTGGTACCTTAACCATTTTGTCTGATACAAAACTGTAGAAATATATAACCATTAACATCACCTCCAAAACACTAAAGGAGGCCCTCTGTATTGTCCCTATTCTTGCATACCTTCAGACAAGAATGAGGTCCGTAACGACACAAATGCGAGTAACGTTGGGATTGGAAGAGTGCTCTCCCAAGTACAGGGCAGAAAGAAGCGAGTAATAGCCATCTGGGGCTGGTACAATAGGCCAGAAGTGGCCGCAGTACAAGGGACTTAGTCCCACCTCACTAGCAATAAGAAAATAGCCTACTACATTAAGACACTGAAAAAGGCTAAGAAAAATTACTGCCTCACCTGATGGGAACTACCTGCAATCGTAAAGATGCTGGAACATTTCCATAAGTACATCTAATGACAGGAGTTCCACCTGTGCACCAACCACCCTGCATTAACCTGGCTCATGAGTTTTAAGAACATCGGAGGGCAAACTGCCTGACAGATTCAGTGCCTGCAAGAGCACAACTTCACTTTCGTGCACCATCAAGGCCAAGAACACAACAATGCCGATGCCGTTTCCCGACGATCATGCCGATAAAAGTGTACGCACTCCCACAAAGTCGAGGCGCACGCAGATGTCAACCAAACATGAACTATTGCAGCTGTAGCCGTGGCCGGTTATGATCCAGCTGCTTTGAGAACAGAACTGAATGACCAGGACACAGGGCCAATTTTGGAGGAAGCAGAGACCGGACAGTGCACAGAATGGTAAGGCACAGCAGATCGCAACCCCATACACAAAATCTACTGGGCGCAACTGAAATTCTTCGCTGTGAGGAATGGCATATGAGAGCGCCACTGGGAATCTGACGGACAATTAAAAACAGCCTAGATAATTCTGCCTCGAAGCAGAGTGAACGATGTGCTGTCTGTACTGTATGGTGGGCCTTCACGAGGTCACTTAGACGTCAACAAGACCCTGAATGAGGTTCAGCAAAGGTACTACTGCCTCCAGGCAAGAAATGTAGTTGAGAAATTATGCCAGCAGTGCGATGGCTGTGCAGCCAGTGGTAACCCCCGAACCACGAATCAGGGCCAAACGCATCAGTACGTCGAGGTCCCATTTGAAAGGATAGCCAATGACACAACAGCGCCCTTTCCACAAAGCGACCAAGGAAACGGATACTTCCTGATCGTTATGTACTATTTTGCCAAATGGCTGGAAGCATACGCCATTCCTGAACAAGAGGCTTTGACAGTGTCGGAAGCTAGTCACCAGCTTCTTCTGCTGTTTCGGAGTACCGCGGAAGCTACATAATGACCAGGGGCGTAACTACAAATTCCCGTCTAATGCTGGCTTTGCAACGCCTGGGAGTGAGCAAGATAACCATCACACCCTGGCACCCGCAGTCAGATGATATGGTGTAACGATACATTAAAACGGTCGAGAAGCACCTACGAAATGTCGTCGCAACCCATCCGAGGGATTGGGATGCCACATCCTCCTTGTTTACAGGGCATCCACTCACGACCCTACGGGCTTCACTCCGGCTAGCCTAGTGTTCGGGAGAGAACTCTGCATGCCCTGAGACCTGCTGTTTGGGCACCCCTCAACCAGGAATGACCCACAATCGATCATGTGACAAATTTAGTGGACCACCTAAACGACATCCACAATTATGACTGCCGACACCTGAAGCTCGCCAGTGACCGGATGAAAACTCGTTACGACTGGCCAACTACGCGGGCTACCATGAGGACGACAAAGCGCGGTTCTATTGCACAACCTGCATGAAGTGGAAATCGCCTAAGCTCTAATCCTCCTGGGAGGGCCCGTACAAGGTAGTCACCAGGATAAATGATGTGGTAAACAGGATCAAGCGGAACCCTATAGATTCATGGTGGCAGACCCCGACCGGCTCGCACCTTATCATGAAACCGGTTGGAACGAACGGCCTTAAGGAGGTAGCAATTGGAGAGTAATCACAGTGAGAACCGAGCATGGGAAACGAAGCCGATCGCACAAGTCACAAGAACCCTAGGAAAAAATAAATGGCAGCATGCCTTTATGCTATTTGGGACGAATAGTCCTAAGGAGGGAGCAATGTGGAATGTAGACATGTTGCTAGGCAATGACCGCGAAATAAGTTCCTATACAACAGCCATTCCTAAGTAATGGCGCAGTAAGGACGAGAACATGGAGGGTGATGATGCTACAGAGTTGAAAGCCGTTACAAGGTGACAACCGGTGAAGATACAGCAGACTGAGAAGACTTAGTGCGTGCTGTAGTGAAGTGTAGAACGCGTAAATTAGCGAGAGTGCTATAGTTACTTGCAGTTAAGATCTGCAAGTGTTCAATATATCCAATAACCAATCCTAACAGTCTATGGTCGCTAACATCACGTGACAATATTCTCAAAAATATAACCACCAGGAGAGTATATAAATAAGCAATAACAATTTCTGAAACTTATTTTTATGTGACTAAACTGTGCTTCTACAGTAAGAACATATAAGACAGCATTAAAGCAAATACTTTTTAATAGAAAAAATTAGACTCATTTCTATGAAGTATCTTCTTTAACACCATTTTTAAAATACTTAGAAATATCTTAATGCAGGTAAAATACAGCTTCATTGCCCGAAACCACAGATATAAAAGAAAGCAATATTCAATATGAAGGTTTCAAAAGGATGCCAAAGCTGTTGAAGAACTGAGATGTATTTGTTTTTAGATAAGCACAGATATAAGAATGTCTACAAATCAGAACAAGGATCTGAATGAATGCCAATACAACAGAAAAAAGGAGGGAAATAAATTATTAAATGTCAATATTAAACAATAAAATAAACAGTAACAGAAGACCCGAAATATGAGGGGCAGTCAAATGAAAATGGGCCAGAAGCCAAAACATATTAAAGATCATTTCTTACCTCAAAAGTAATCTCCAAAACTGTTAATACATTTTTCCCACTGGGAGATAAGAGGGTCAATCCCATCCTTGAAAGAGCTGGTGGGCTGTCTATGGAACCACATCTTTACCCAGTCACTTGTCTTCGTCCGATGCAAACCAATGTCCATGAATGTCTCTCATCAGGTCTCCAAAAATGTGAAAATCACATGGGGAGAGATCTGGACTGTAGGGGGGATGTTGAAGCCTTTCCCAACCAAATCTCTGCAGCATATTCCTCACACAGAGCTGGCAGTGTAGTGGAGTGCATTATCATGAAGAAGGGTACTGCCGTTCAATAGCATTCCAGGCCGTTTTGACTTTATGGCACATCTCAGTTTCTGCAGTGTCTTCATAGCGCTGTGCACTGATTGTGGCCCCATGCTCGAGAAATTCGACAGGCAGAGGGCCCTTGCAGTCGAAGAACAACATCACTTTACCGGAACTTGTGTGTACAGCTTTGGATTTCTTCAGTGCGGGAGAATTCACGTGTTTCCGCTCTTGGCTCTGCCGTTTGCTCTAGGGTTCAAAATTGTGGCACCAAGTTTCATCCCCAGTGGCAATACGGGGCAGAAAAGCATACTCTTCCTCATGGTATCGTTGCAAGTGACCCAGTAATGTAGCCATTCTCTGAGTCTTCTGTTCCTCCATGAGTTGATGTGGAACCCACTGCGCGCAGATTTTGTGGTACAGCAGGTATTTTGTCACAATGGTGTGTACGGAACTGTGACTTATTCCCATCAAAATACTAACTTCTTCCACAGTGATCCGTCGGTTTCCCCGGATATTACCAGCCAACACAGCAATAACATCAGGAGTGATGACACGATGAGCCTGTCCTGGGCGAGCATCATCTTGCAGTGACACACATCCTTCTCGGAATCTCTTATGCCATGCCAGCACAAGCGAACGTGACATGCTGTGTTCGCCGTAAACAACAGACATGTGACGATGAAATTCTCTAATTTTGTTAGCTACCAATATAAATTCACAAACCCAGGCAGTCACAGCTATACCAACTTTCATCTCCAATCCTGATATGCAATTCACAGTTCAAGATCAAACCGATCTAATACTTGGAACACTGCATCATCTCAAAATTTCATCACCTAACAGAAGACTGAACCAAATGACTGAACATTCAAACAGCAGCTTAGTTACCAAAACCAGGCACCAGACAGAGACAATGAATGGTGCCAGCCATAAGAGAAGCACCCTACAAGAAAAATCGAAACAGGTGGAAATACTGGGCAAACAAAAATTCTTAATATATCTGGAAACGTCAATTCAAGTGTGGTTTCTTAATCATCTGATGCTAAGATTTTAAGAAAGTTACAGGAAAAACTTCAAGATTCAAAAACTTAAAAAGTTTGGAAGAGACATCCTGCTTAAGAGATGGAATATTTGGTAACGCAGCGTGCAGAGCCGTTACTATGCAAGGACCGCGAGATTGGCGGATATACCACAGCCGTTCCTGGGCAATGGCTAGGTAAACACGTTCCCGTTGTTAGGAGGCAGATTCTTAATAATGCAAAAACTGGACTACAACAATGGAAGAGATGTGTTTTCTAAGTGGTTTGTGCCGAGATGTTATAAGCAGTTAGTTGAAAGTTCTACATGGGAGTCTGTGGAGGGAGGACTTGAGCTGGAGGCAGAGGAACAATAAAATAACCCTCCATAAGGCACTGATCAGATCAGCAACTACCTACGAGTATGCTTGCCTCGCCTGGGAATTAGTGGAAGACACCTACCTCTTACAACTGCAGCGCCCGCAAAACAAGGTTTACGCACCACTGGAAAATTTTCAAGGTTCGTATCGGTACGCGATTTGCACACGGTTTTCAACCTTCCGTATGTATATGACTATATAACAAAACTGTGCAGGTAGCAATAAGAAGTCACACAAAAACTTGAGAATCAACATGTTTGTAGTATAGGGCAAGGTGAAGCCAGGCAGAAAATACTAGGCTGCTGTTGTAGTATAAGATACGTGTACATAAGATAGTCATGATCTGTTTTCCAAACCCTGGACTGATAGAGGAGTTGTATATAATGCAATAGGAAGAATTTTCAATAACATGCTATATATTCCATATACACACTTGACAAAAAACCAAGCATATTCATAAGAGAAACCCTCGTCTTCTCAACAGAGAGGATGTTACACAAGGACTATGACTGCAAGCGTTCAGCTAACAAAATCTCTGGTCGTGAATCTTGAGGGGCCTGGCGCCAAGAGAAATTGACTGGCAGTAAACCGCAGGTCTAACAGTAACTTTGACTTTGACTTTCAGTTAGTCAGTCGTAAGGAAGTTTGTGACGAGAAAACTTCTTCGGTTCAGTTGAGAGCTGGTGGTTAACGAAGTGAGTGCAGAAGATGAAAAATCTTCTCCGTTCGCAGCCGTTACCAGGGAACAACTGGTGAAGACACAGCAGACTGAAAAGTCTTGGCATGTGCTGTAGTGATTTGTGAAATATGGAGATCAACGATGGCATGATAATTAAGTATAGTCGTGAGTTAAAGTGGTCAATAAATCCAATCTCTAATCCAAAATCCCTCTATACTCAATCTTTCTCGTGACAGTTGGTGTCAGAACTGGTTGAACCCCGACTCACGATGTGGAGACCGCAGTAAGAAGTTTTTCGCCATACAATTGATGTGGAACAGATGATTGTACAGCTGCAGGCTGAAATAAGAACCGAGAGATGAAAGGAGAAATGAAAACGATAATCTAAAGGAACGGAAAAAGAACTGACAGCAAGGCTGAAAACCAAGAACGAAGCTGAAATAAAAACCAATAATGAGAAGTACCCTCTTGTCCCTGATGGGTATCCATCAAGCCAGGGTCAGAGACCATTCAAGAAGAAATAATAGCCAAGATGGACGCTCATCAGAAACAAATGGGAACCAGCATGAATGCCTGGCGAAGAGATGATGGCCTGCTAAGAAGTGACAGAGGCCTGTTTGGAAAGTAAGGAGCCAACCTCAGTGGACATAGCGACCATAGCAAAGCATGACGAGGTCCTTCAAAAAGAGGCCGCAGTGAAAAGCGGTATGGGGGCTGGCAGCCAGCTGTAGGGTGCCACCGACAGCTGAAGAAATGGACCCAGGACGGCGCGTCTCAGAAGAAGTTTGCCGCCGCCGAGCACAGAGGGACGACGCACCATTCCATTCCTTTCAACATGACAGTCAGAAAGACTTTCACACTGGAGGTCGCAAAGCGAGTGGTCGAGTTTTCCATCGATTTACAGGGAATGAGTGACTAGACATTGTGGAGGGGTCACCCTCTCTGAAACGAAAGAAATGACTGCACACAGAGCAAGAGCCGGAGATTAAGATCACCGGCCATTCTAGCTAGTTTTGCCCGAACCGACAGAATGACGGATGATGGTAGCAAACCAGGACCAACTGGCACTTTATGAGGGAACCGCTCGGGACGAGCATCCTTCAGAAGGAAGCAGCGATAGCAGTTGGAGAGTAATCTCCGTGAGAACCGAACCACGGGGAACGACATGCGAGACCGACCACATACGTCACAAGCATTGTCTTTGGAAAAGATTAAATGGCGGTAGGCTTTTAGGGTATTTGGGATGAAGAGCAGTAAGGAGGAAGCAATGTAGTGCGTAGACCCGTTACTAGGTAGCGACCGCGAAACAAACAGGTTCCCACGGCAACGAGTTCGAGCACAACAATAGAGGAACTCTTGGAACAGTGTCTTCTACGCGGCGCGTGCTGAGATGTTATAACCATGACAAGTTTAGAAGTTGGTTGTGAGGCAGTCTGTGAAGAGAAGACATATCTGCTTCTGTAGAGGCAGCGGGTAATGAAGTGAGCGCGGACACCGAAGAATCTCTACTGTTAGAAGCCGTTATCAGGGAACGACTGGTGAAGACACAGTAGACTGGAAAGACTTCACCTGTGCTGTAGTGATTTGTAAAGGGTGGAGATCAGAGATGGCACTATAATTAGGTGTAGCCAAGAGTCGCGTGTTAAAGTGACCAATAAATCCATTTTCCATTCCAAACCCCATCTACAGTCATTCCTTCACGTGACAATACATTATAATAAATATTCACTGAGAAAGCATCATGTTCAAAATGTGGATTTCAATATACAGATGTAAATCAACTGAATAATTCACTGAATCACTGCTTAACAATTTGTTACTTCTACTTCATTATGATTTATTGGAAGACAGCAAGCTATGGTCCTCAAAGGACCGAAATTTGAAATCCTTCAAAACATAACTATGCTGAAAATATTGGTGTAATAGGTAACTGGAAAGGGCATCTTATAAGCTTCAAAACGAGCACAGAATGAGCTCTGTCTCTCAATTAGGGCAACAACTGTCATTTTTCTAAGGCAACTTGTGCCCACAAATAATTCTTTCGACAAATTCCGATGTTTGTTCTAAAAAAAAATTCTAATGTTCATAAAGCAACAAAATTTGATTGCAATATTTATCTCCACTGGGACTACAATCTCAAAAACAACTGTTCAATTCTGAGGGGCTGGGTAGAAAATGTCTCTTTTCTGTGTTACATGATGTGGAAATGGCCAAGTTCTTTTTGCACATTCTACCTTCTGGGATACAATGCTGTGTAGCCCTTTGAAAACAACCAACTTTCCAGAGGAACATGTCACCTACATCTTCGGGGCTGAAGAGTGAACCAAACATTAAACCAAAACATCAGTTGACTTTCAACAGACTGCAAGGTATTATATCCCAGAATTTATTTATATGTTTATGTTTATATATATATTTATGATAATGTGTTTAAAGAACTGAATTGGCCAGTTAGTGTCACTCAGTCTGTTGTCAAGCCATTCTCATACTGGTCCCATAGAAATTAAATGGAAAAGTGATTTAATACATTTACTATGTTTCAGTTTGAAAAGAAATACAGAATTCAAAGTCAGCAAAGCAGCAAGACATGCTTTAAATAATATTTACCTGAACTGTCTTATCATAAAGAAGAGGAAGGAAGAAAAGAGGAACATTTCGAAGGGAGAGAAACAGAACGAGCTGGAAAGAATCTTGGGAGAAGGGACAGCAGTATACTTTAATGTATCAGCTAATCCTCACTGTTGTATCTAACAGTATTATAACAGCAATGTAGTATGAAGAGACCACAATTTATGTACCCAAAAGAATAAATCTTTTCCCTCCACTGCATGTGTATAAACTGTTATTACCTGCTGCTGTCTGGATGATGATGCAGTTGGCTGAGCTATGATAGAAATGGCAGAGTTTAAGTTAAGGGTAGTAACTGGCTGTGACACAGCAGGTGCTGCTGACTGCATTGCCGCAGGTGGCCGTGACTGCCGCTGTTGCTGCTGTGGACTCTGCGATGTCCCACTACGGCCCCCTGTTCCTCCTGCAGGCGTGACTGTAATGCCTCGGGTGGCCAGAATATTAGCAACAGCCTTTGCATCACTTTTGTTCTTCCCTCCACCTGCTATAGGCTGCCCAGCACCTGATCCTCCTTGAGGCTGCCGCACAGACAGTGTGATAGAATCTGTTAAGTGAATCATTGATTCAGGTCGTCCAGTGTTATTTGCAGCACCCTGAACATTTCCGATCACAGGTCCACTGTCTGTCCTTTTCTGCAATGCTATTACATGACAATCAGCATCATCGTGTCTGTCTGGTAGAAGGACATCCACCCTTCTTTGTTTATTTGGAGAGCTACCAGGCTGATTAGGCACAACAGCTGGCCGTTTCTGTTGTAACCCCATTCTTGGCTGCTGCTGGACTATATTTGGTCGCTGCATACTGTGTTGGGAAGGGGCCCGTGGACGATTTAGCTGTTGAACCATATTACCATAAGGCCTGGGAGTGGGCAAGGAACCTGCAGGTGCAGGGTAATTATTCTGAGGCTGAGGGTAGGGTTGTTGATTGTACATTTGTGGTGGCATCATATGCTGCTGTTGGGTTTGCTGTGGATGATTAGGATACTGGTGTTGCATTCCTTGAGGTGTTCCAGGTACACTTGCAGATCCTGGCACACGATATAGAGGAGGTGGACGCCGAACTGGAGACTGAGGATAAGGCTGCTGGGGGGGCATCAGTTGATGAAGTTGTGGAGACATCTGCTGGACAACTGGCTGTGGTGCATGATGGTTCATCTGATGGGGAGATAACTGTTGTGCTGGAACTGGTAGACGCTGAACTTGTTGAGCCAACTGTTGCACAGGTGGTGGCTGGTGATGTGGTATTGGGTACTGCTGAGATGATGATGGTTGTTGTTGTGACGGAGGTTGTCCACTGTTGCCATGAGCGATGTGCTGATGAGACGCCAATTCACCCAAATTTGCAAACATTTGATTCCCACAGTCTTGGTGTCCACATTTATAATGTCCGGCCCTTGCCCGATGTTCTTCCAAGTTTGATGTCTGTTCACCACACACGTCACAGCATGCTAATGCACCAGTTTCTCCAAGGCGTTCTAATGAAATATATTCTGAACCTAAGCCATCAATTACATTTCCAGCTACACCAGATGCTGGTGTAGTTACTGCTATAGTCTTATCACTACCTGAAGGATCACAAAGGAAGCCACGAAGCAGGGACTCTGATGAACTTCCTTCACTTAAATTTCCTGAATTATCATTCTCAACCCCTGGATCTGCTGATGTATGTTCTGGTATCATTAAAGGATCTCGTTCCTCTATTCTCTCTGTATTCGATGTTGGATCATCAGTAGCAGTTGTAGGTACACTGCCAATATCATTCCAATTGAAATTTCCCGTTTCTGAAGGTATGGATGTTTCATCACTTTGATCATTATTGTGCTCATCTCTGCCTCCAGACTGAGACTGCAGTTCTGGATTATCCACAGATGGAGATTGCTGATTCTGTGCTGATGCCGAATGTTGAAAACTGGAGTCTCCTGAGGTTGGAGGCGGTGCAGGTGATGTTGTGGGAAATGCTGGTGAGCCAGCTTCTGCTAAGGTTGTATTACTGACTTCAACCATTGTTGGAGATGGCAGACTATCACAGGATCCTTCTTCAGGAGCAATAAATTCTGGGCGAAGCTGCTCACTGGGAGTTGGACTGGGGCATGCTGATCTAATTCCTTGTTGATGATCAATATCCAAGTTCAAGTCACCTATGGCATCAAGACAAGTGTCCTCAATTTCTTTTTCGTTCTCAACTCCCCCCTCAAACTTATCTTTGGTCACTTCCTCTTCACTCTCAAGCCCTTCTTCACTCTCGTCCTGTTCCACACTTTCCACGTTGTTAATGCCACTGTTCTCTTCCGATGACTCCAATGCACTTTCTGACGTCCGTCCCGCCCCCTCCCCTTTCTCTTCCCCTTCCCCTTCCACACTTTTACTATTCCACTCCACGTCTTCACTCTGAGTAACAACCTCCGTCTTAACTTCGTCTAGGACTCCGTTTGTAGGATATAGACCTCCTGGTCCTATAAGAATCTTCTGTGGTATAACTTCAAATGATGGTTTATCTGTAGTAGCGTCAGTAGCCAATTTAAGAGTCAATTTCAAAGGTTCACTTACTTTACTCTTCTTAACTTTTGGAACTATGTATGACCTGGTGTGTTTACGAGCAAAATTACATCTTCTCCTCTTGTGTCCACTCTTTGATGCCTTGTTTGAAATTATACGACGAACATAGGAAGGATTGAGTCGCTGGGCTATTACATTTGGTAGCTGAACATGACACAGATGATGATGGTAGAATTCATCACAAGAATGAAAGTTCCTGTCACAGTATCTGCAATATAAGCTATTATTACCACACTGTTGATGTGTATTCTGCGAATGTTCCTTTCCTGTATCTTGTTCTTCTACTGCCTTACTCTTATTTTCTGCCCAGTCACTCACAGCACTGTTGAGTTTCCCATTTATCAAATCATCTGGAATCAAACAGAATGAATTCAATAAGTTCAAATTGGAATACTAAAGAAAAGTTGTGAATATCTGATTTCTCTGAAGCCATTATAGCTGATTTTCCAAAACTCAAATCCTATGGCATACAATATAAGATATATAGGTTACAAACAATTCAAGCCAGAGATGAAATAAGTCTGGTCTAAACGTTAATAATCAGGTCCCAAATATAAAAAATCTACGTACTCATGACACATTAAACATTGTTCAAAATTCTTCAGAATGTTCAATGTACAGTTTGTCGCATTTTTCTTCTAAAATTTAAAAGCACTTCAGTCACCACCTTTACGGTGATTTGTGGGCAGAAGAAGGATTTGGACCAAAATACAGCACTATCCAATAGCCCCTTCTTATTGGACAGCACCATGCTCTAGCCCCCTAGCCCTTACTTCCGCCACAAGACTATCGCAAAGTTCCCGGACTGTTACTGTTAAAACTGCCTCCATGAAAGAAGATGAGAGGGGAGGTCAAGATCACATTTCCGCAAGCCCACTGCATCAGTCTGCCACATGACACCATACTGTGAAAATGGAATGTTTTTTACAGTTCGTGTTTCATTTTGTCTGTGATGGATGGCAAAATTGAGCAACGTGTCTGCATCAAGTTCTGCGTGAAGCTCAGTAAATCCTCTACTGAAACCCTTGAAATGTCCCCCCCTTCTGCTAATGAGACCTGTGTATTTTTCAATCAGCAACCCAGCAAGACCTTTAATTTTTGAGACACTCGTTATGGTGGTATAATACCTAAACAGCGTGTCACTGTACTACTTGTGGGCAAGGTTGATGGTACTAATAAATTGCCACCTCTTGTAACTAGAAATTATAGACGTCAATGTTGCTTCAAGAATGTCAAGAGACTGCCTACAAAATACGAAGCTAATACAAATTTGCTGATGGCCATCAAAATATTTAAAGATTACTGCAAAAAACCAGATAGACAACTGGGTACTAAAAACCGCAAAGCCTTGCTTTTCATTGATCAGCATGCTACCCATCCAAAGACCACCACACTTCTCAGTAATATCAAAGCTGCATTTCCCCCAAATAACTGTGCCAGCCAGCTACAACCTTTAGATTTTGGAACCATCCATCCATTCAAGTGTCATTACAGAAAGCAGATGATTCAGAAGACTGTAGCCATGACAGATGGGGACTATTCCAAGATGATACATAGATGAAGCCTGAAGATATATAACAGCCACTGTAGTGAAGAACTGCTTTGTGAAGTGTGGTTGCTCAAATGATTATGTCAGCAGTAACAACAACAGTGCAGTGAAACTCAGTGACGATGAAGAGGATGACTGGCTCAGTTTGCAACCTCTTGGAGTGCAGTTTAAGGACTACACAACATGTGACAGTGTTCTTCATGTCTGTGGAATCCAGGAAGTTGACCAGGTGTTAGATCAGCATTTGACTACGTCAGAAGAAGTTGCAAAATATAAAGCAACATTTCTTGATACACTGAACGAACTGGAAACGGCCAGAAAATATGTGTGTCAATTTGATACAGAGAGCATTATTACTGTAATGTCCAACAAAGTTGAAAATAAATTATACAGTCTAAGAGATTTTTTTTTGTAAAAAGAAAAAAGAAAAAGACCTGTTGAATGGTTAAAGAAACAGTGCAACTGGGTATGTACCATATTTGCCAGTCTATCCAAGCAAATGACGGGGTAGTGCCTTGAAACAGACCACGACCATTTTCTTCCTTCGGCCCTTCCATTAGTCAGTTATAAATGCTCTCTCTCATTTTACTGATGCCACATAAAAACAGCAGCTGATAAAGCATCATAAAATAAACAAAGAACCATATTCATATCTACATATACACAGTTAAGTATTTAAACACGTATTTTTTAAATGATCTACAATATAAAGAAGAAAATGAAATCTTCTTTACATTATATCATTTTAATTTCACCGCTTTTGCACTTATTTTGAAAAGTCCCTTAAAAATGTAAAATCGAGGTTTCACTCTGTACTGAATAAACAACCACAGACAACAGGTATGGGGTGATCCTCCAACTTGTGGGCTGAGCAGGGCCAAAAAATTCCTCACAGTAGACAGCATGTTACATAGGACCCTACAGGGCTTCTACAGATTCTTTGGAACAACCTACACAACAGAAAATGACAGGAAAATTAGATAGGCATAAGTTGAGTGGGACTACACATCAGATAAGACAAAACTGTTACTGACCTAGCAGACAATTACATATTTTCTGTGGACATGGGAAAGTCAATCATGACCTAGGTACAGGCTTTTTAGACACAAGAATGGCAGAGTCTGTTTGTGACATGATGGCATCCTTAACAAGCAGTCAGTGCTTAAGAATGTGCATGTCTCTACTGAGGATAAAAATATGTTACAAAAGGAATTTTTATAAGAAACTAAGATATGAATTTCATAGTTCCCTAGCTGCCATATAAAAATTTTGTTTGGAAACTCCAAACCAAGAGTACAGAACGAAGACATTTTCAAACTCACAGTTTCACATCAGAGTTTACATGAAATTAGTAATGATAATGGGGTTATAGGGGTAAATTCTGCCACATACAAAAATCTAATGTTCCCTTACTATACCATTCATACACTAAATGCTGTAGTTGAATGTCCAGCACTCCTACATCATATTCAAGAGATCAGATATAGTTCAGACATGGGCTATCCTGATTGAGTTTTCATGTGGAACTAAGGAATTCAGTACCTTCAAACAAAGGCAAGTAAAGTATCTCAAATTAGGCCATGATCACTTCATTCCAGGTCCTTTTCACTTCATTATTCAATAATCATCCAGTCATTCAATGCTACTGAATGTGTCACTAACTGCTGTCTTTACTAATGCTAATGCACAACACCACACACCCACCACACACTGTGGAGGAAACATACAACCCAGGGGCATGTGAGTACAAAGTAAACAAACATAACATAATAACAATACCAAACAATTAGAAAACAACATTAATCTATGGATATTATAAATTACAGATGACAGTTGTAACTGAAAAGTAGGATATGAACGCGAGGGGCAAGCTGCTAAGACAAAACAACCTGGACAGACATATATTTATGAACAATGGACAACACCCTGTGTGAGGTAAAATAAAATGCACCAAAATAACGTGGTTATAATAGAAACTTTAATGGATTTTATCTGGTTTCACCTTGAAAAGAGAACGATTGCGTGTGATTTTAACAGGGACTAAGACAGTGTAGCAGTTTTAACATAATTTAGTAAAATATTTTTAACATATCAAGACATCTGAAGATGGCCGTTTGGGGCCAAAACATGTAGTGTCAAAGTGTATAATGTTAAATTAAAATTAAGTAGTGAATAAACAAGTGTTGCAATACTGACTGACAATAAATACATGGACATTAAGTTACACACTTGCAGCAGAATGCTGGAATACAGAATTACAAAATAATGAGACTAGGAAATTAGAACACTAAAATGATCTTCATTATAACAGCTGTATACAAACAAACAAAAAATTAAGTTCCAATGCAGATCACTGATCACAGGACAGATAATCCTCTGAAGGAATAGAATACCGCTAATTTCTTTAGGTTTCAAGAACATAATTAACAGTACTTAGGAAAACAAAATTAACTTTGAAGACCTTGGCCTAGACTGGAACAATGAATATAATGGTTGTTGTACATGTATAAAAAGTGTGGAATGATGTGGACTGTACTTATTTGGTTCAGGCCAGGAACCAATGCCAAGCTCTTGTGAACTTGGTAATGAACTTTTGGGCTGCACAAATGACAATTTCCTGGCTAAAGGAGGGTCTACCAGATTCTCAACAAAGACTGCTCCATGAAGTTAGTTGTGAGGTAAGAACTGTTGGAGCTTTTAGTGCCTAATGAAACATCTCTTAGATGCCAGTGCAAGGGAAATCAAAATCAGATAAATGAATCACATTTACATAAAAACTGCATCAACACTGCCTCAAGAAAATGGCTGTTATTGAGGAAGATGTTAATAATTTAACTTTAGATTACATTGTTGGAAAAAGTGAAACTGTATCTCACAAATTCAATTTTGTACAGCTTCTTAAATTTAGCAGGAGGTTTTTAAATTGTACAAAATCACCTACCATAATTTAGCCATAAAATTTGTTACTTATTTTAATACTAATATTTATGGCACGAGATAAATAGCATATTACTCTATACGCATCATATAAGCTCTGAATTCGCGTGTTTGTATGTAACCACTTCTACATACAGCAGGGAAGGAAGTCCCCCCAAAATGTTGGTAAACATCTACCAGGCTACAAAGCGTCACATCTCAGAAGAGAATAGATATGGTGCTGATCCTTATCAGCAACACAGTGACTATACTACGGGCTGGCCGACCGGGATTACCGTATTTACGCATGTATAGGCCGCAGCACAATTTTCAGACAGAAATTATACAAAAAATAATTTTCTTGGAATATTATTTCAGGAGTAGAAATTATTCCGAAATTTGGCAACGTTTAACATTCCTAAGTTCGCAACTGGCGAAAATAATTCGAATATAAGCCGCACCCCAGTTTTCCTCTTGAATTTTTGGCAAAAAATGTGCGGCCTATACATGCGTAAATACGGTATATTCTCAGCAGAGGTAGGGTTTGCCTTCTTTGCTACCACGTGCAGATCGGTCCTGTGGCCTAACCAGCCTGCACTAAAACAGCAATGCAAAATCACCTTATTCCGTGCTGCGAGTTTTTTGACAGTGTTCATTACATTGACAGGATCTCTGTGAATGAAACAGTGGTCAGGAGTACTGGTACTGCCAGAAATAGGATTTTACGGCGTGCCGCTGCATGCAATCAAACACTATCCCTGTGCAGACGACAGGAATATGGCGACAGACGCAGCAAGAAACACGCAATGGCCGACCGAACAAGCATCGAACACACAACACGTCATGCTGACGTTACACGAAACGTTATTCTTGTACCTCGGTCGTGTCGTTTGTTCAGTTTTACTGTCTCAATCCGTTAGCGCAAGGCGGGGAGTGGTGCGGGAGTTCCGTACTCCTGATACGTACTTCGACCGGTTTGCGAGCCGTACGCCTGTTCCCGAGCCCCAGCATTCCCTCCCTTCCCTCCCATGCCCAATGTGCTGCAGATGTCCTGCAGACGCAGTACGTACGGACGTATTCGTCCCTTTCACACCTTGCATATATAATCAACTGATTTCATATAAGGCGAAGACAGTAAACTTTAGTGCATTACACGCGATTGTATGCCACACTCTTGATGACTACGTTCGTAGATAACTCAAACACGTCATGTGGAAATACGGCAGTTTCGGACGCAAAGCTCGTCCACGAAGTAGAAAAACATCCCGCACTGTACAATCCACAAAGAAGAGGTTACAAAGACAGTGCTACAATGGACAGATCATGGCTGCTGATTGCAAATGAACTGGGCATGAAACGTAAGTCTGTCTGTCTCTCTCTCTCACTGTGTTACCAAAATATTCTGGAGGGGGCACCAACAGATTACTGTGTACGATCCAATTTCCATGCATCTAAAATCCTCACAACATAACTCCCTCAGATGTATCTTAATGTACTGTCCATCTCCCTCCTGTTCTTCCAAGTGGGCACTGTCCTACCAAAATTCTCTATGCCTTGCTTTGTCTCCCTTATCCCACAATCTGAATATTACTATGTCACTTGGGCACGGGGTAGCATAGTTGGTTGAGGCACTATGCTACAAGCCGGTAGGGCGCGGGTTCAAGTCCCGATGAGGTATTTGGATTTTTTCCAATTGACCTAATCCTTCCAGCAGCACTATGGCCCTGAGGTCGACTCAGCCTCTAACAGAAATGAGTACCAGGAATATTCTCTGGGGTAAAGGGCGGCCGGCGGTAGGGCTGAAAACCTTGCCGCCATCTATGAGCCGACTGTCTAGAAAATGTGGGAACCTCAACAACTCACAACCCTATGGGCATCCACGGCCTGTTATAGGGATACCTTTGCTTTTACGTTTTTTTTACACTTGTGTTAATCACGAAGTTCCTCATTTATCAAGGCCTACTATCCTAAATTTTGTCCTTACTTCCTCCACCTTTAAGTTGAAATATTTTCCTGAGCAACTGTAATTTGCATTCCTTCTTCATACTAAATGACCATATTCCATGCCATACAAGGCAAGTAGCAATACTGTTCTGGTTCTGACATTTAGTGTAATAATAAAGAGCACAATGTCTAGCAACTTTGGCCTCTTTGAACATGACATCCTCACTAAACTTCATTAAAAGTTAATTTAGGCTAACAGTGAATTAGGACTGTCACTTTGCTTAAAGCTCTAAACTTATACTTACAATCTTCTGAACTCTACACCTAACTGAAGAATACTACAAATGAAAGATTTGAGACTTTCACGGCGGTGACTATGAAGAAAGCAGTCTTTTGGGATTTGGCACCGTGTAGATGTGGTGTTAACCGACGTTTCGGAGGAACGTATCGCCTCCATCTTCAGGGTAGAAGAAAAAATATAAGAAATCTGCAAGCAAAGAGAAATATATTTCCAACACAGTCTGCTTTTACCGGTTCTCACGGTCTCTTCGCTTGCAGATTTCTTATTTTTCTTCTACCCTGAAGATGGAGGCGATACGTTCCTCCGAAACGTCGGTTAACACCACATATACACGGTGCCAAATCCCAGAAGACTGCTTTCTTCACTACAAATGAAGTTAATTTTTTTTCCCCCTTGGCACTACAGCCCCAGTGGGCCTAGGCCTACCTCCATGAACTTCTCCGTTTACTTCGGTACAAATGAAGTTTATACCTTAGATAAATGCTTAACATTACATATACTATTTTCATTCAGTCTTCTGAATCTTCGTCAATCTGACAAAGATACTCTGTAAACTGTACATATGCAAGATCTCAGAACTATAAGCATGCATATTTTAAACTTCTTAAAACTCTTGGTTTCATCTGCTCATTGCCTTATGTTAAATTTCAAACACAAAATCACTTACTGCTACCTACACGCAGGAAAACAAACAGAATAAATGCACACACACACATCCATGCCTTAAATTGAATTCAAACCCACGATCCCAGCGTTCAAGTGGGAGAAGACAGTTCATGTCTTAGACTGCACAACCACTGTGATCAGCAATATTTTATTATACAATGGAAATATTACCTGTCTTTAAAATATCACAATCACACTCTGTAAAAACTGGCTACTTATTAAGCATTTGGGTTATGGGATTACTGCAGATTTTAGTTTACAGTATTTCTTGTATTAACTTCTGGTATTATGGCATGTAGGATGGCAGAGTGGACATTAATGGTGACTCAGATCTATTTAAAACGAAGTTTTAAATAATCTAATTTTCATCTTCTAATAACAGGATATCACAAGTTTAACAGAATGATAGCACTAATACCCTCCTCCCCTCACATGAACTTATTGTACAGGTAGCATCAAATCTTTTCAGGTTCTTCTTATGGATGCTTGGGCAGTTCTGTAATCTTATGAATATCCAATGTTTCTAGCAAGACAGTATGGCACGCCCTAATAAGCCATTCATGCTTCACTATTAACAAAAGGAATTTCCATACAATACAAGCAAATATGTATTTAACATACAAGTACAGAAAATTTTTTGACATTCACAGCAACAATGGTATATCAAATCTAATATAAACATGTATTATATACAGAAATATTTTTAAATCACTTTTAAAACTGCACTTTTTTCCAGTGACTCAGTGTTCTAGTAATATTACTCCCAATTTAAAAGTTCATATGGTCACCACATAGTGGTGCTGTATGGAATGATGGAAGGGTTCCAACAGAATCTGTAATTCATGAAAATGAGGTAGTTAATTGGAGAGACACACATGCATATGTAAGCACATCTTGTTTCCTCCAGTACATCATACATCCTGTACATCATAAACTCTGGAAACAAGGCTGTATGTATATCTAATTCCCAACCAAATCTGCAAAGAGAAAAAAGTAGACTTTTCAACACCTAATTTGGCATTCCATTAGAAATATAAGTAATAAAATTTAAGTTGAACAACTGTGAATTGTGATGAAGTTTGAGCCCAGAAAGTCACAAAATTATGTTTTGTACCATACTGGACAAATAAGAACTTATTTCCACAGTACTAAATTTCTTAAAAATGTCTTATGGCATACCTATAAAAAAATGGGAGCTACGAACTTATAAATCTGTTCATGACGTACTAGATTTCTGGAAAGCTACTGAAATGTCATGTTTTATAATACAAATGTGTACATGCATAATATTTATAAACATATTTGCCAAAATGGGGCTACTAGACTTTGTCTTCAAACACCAAAATAAAATGATTCAAAATTGTGGTAAACAGCAAGAGTTAACACCTATCTTATTGAAGTTACCATAAATGTATGCATTGTTTACAGTACAGTATTACATTAACATGAAATCCATAGCAAAAGAGGATGTGTGGGATTTGTGACACTATGCTTTATTCCTGTACATGAGACTCTTGACAGTGAATCAGACTTCCAACATAATGAGTGTGAAACAATGTGGCAGTACCTCAAATGGGAGGTGTTCCACATCAGAAAGACAAAACCGTTCATGGGCACAGAAGTCAATAAATTATCACCTTAGTTCTTAGAGGTTCTCTCTCTACATTTTTCAGAACAGAGAAAACAAGGAGACAGTGTCTAAAACATGAACAGCTGAATATAATATACATCTGATGGAAAGCAGGGATGCAATTCTGAAATATGGATGGTAAAGAATAGTTTACACTTTGAATACTATGCAAAATTTAAATTCTGACTTCGTTATTATCCCCTTATAGCTTGAGACAGAAGCTTGGAAGTAATGTGAACAAAATGTGGAAATTCTAGTGGTTTCATCTCCATTTGTTTCTAATTAGGCACTGGTGCAACATAACACTAATTCTCATACAAACAAAAATGTATAAATATATGTGCTTTGTATGTACAAGTAACTCTTGGGAAAGGCTGAGAGGGGATTGTATTTTGTGATCTCTTATGCTCTGTAGGTCTTAGAAAGACTTCAAATTTAGTTATTTAGACATTTTTATAATATGTAACATCAACTACAAGCACAGAAGGAAACACTGACCTCAAATCATTCTTTTTGTCTTCTGAAAGCATTACAGTAGTTTTAATTTGAGCTGCAATAGGCAGAGTTATCATCTTCTTGCAAGTCTTGTGAGGCTATGTATGCCTTCTGCCTTCTTTCTCCCTTACAAGTTTTATAACAGCAAAATTACAATTAAAATTTAACCTGAACATAACTGTAAGTAAACCTTCATGGGAATATAACAGACATTTAGCTTTAGCAGAAGTCCAGGGTTTCTATCTGAATCACTACTAAATTACGTTTGTTAACAGATACAAGATTTTGTGTGAGTGAGAGTGAGGTAAACATTTATTTTTAAGTTTGAAGTGAATTGCAGTGACACTGTACACTGCATGTCTCTTGCATCAAACCATGACAGGCTTGAAATACTTCTGTTCAGTACAAATAATATTTTCATTATTTTACATAAACTGAAGACAGCCACTGACATGATGGAGTGCTTATTTTGTGGGATACACAAGTCCAACCATAAAATTAAATGGCTTATCTCAGGATATTCTACAGACATTTTTCTGTTAGTTATTTCTAAGTAAATGACATTACTTGCTTCCATGAAATGTTGTCAAATGGTGATCTGTGAGTTAAATAAAAGGTAAAAGTAAAGCTGTCCCTGTAACAGTCCCTGAACGCCCATAGGTGTGTAAGAGGTTGAGGCTGCCACATCTTCTAGACAGTCAGCTCAGAGATGGTAGTAAGGTTGTCAGCCTTACATGCCCACCACCCTTTACCCCCAGCAAGATTCGTTTGTCAGAGGCTGAGTTGACCCCAGGGCCATATTGCAGTTGGAAGGATTAAGTAAACTGAAAAAGTCAACCTCATCAGGAATCAAACCTGCAACCTTTCAGCTTGTAGCATAGTGCCTCAACCAATTATGCTACCGCGTGCACATCTGTCGGTTAATGAACCCAATTTTAGCATTTGCTTTGCCTTTCATTGTAAAACCCACAATTTCACTGACATTATTCAAACAGTTGCAAAATGTGAAAAGGTGAACACTGATGAGACATGCTGGCTAGCCAACATGACTTTTTTTTTGTGGCGCTACAGCCCCAATTTGGGCCTAGGCCTACTCCATGAAACTCTCCGTTTCACTTCGGTTTACTAGATCTTACACATTCGGTAGGACTCCTTGGGCGAGTGATCAGCTTGTCGCAAGGCCTCTACCTGTAGACAAACACAGAAAAACGCACACAAACATCCATGCTCTGAGCGGGATTTGAACTCACGATCCCGGCTTCTGAGCGAGCGAAGACAGTGCATGCCTTAGGCCGCTCGGCAGCCAGCATGACTGACCTTGTTAATATCACTAATATCCGTGCATTGGCAATTGTCAATTGACCAGGGAATGATGATCATTTGGGTATCTGTCAGTGGATAGAATCATAGACTGTATCTTAATCAGAACTTGCTACTTCATTAGTAATTCTACCTAATAAACATTCATTTCAAAATGCACAATATGTCTCTCAACAAAGAGAAGTTTTCAGTTTAATTATAATGTAGCTTGCTGTATAAAGGAAACTGGAGACATTAGCTCTGGGCAGGGCAATCACATTTTGGGGGTCAAACCAGATAATGGCAGTGATTCCATTTTCTTCGTTTTTTTATACTTCTCTATCTCTGTCCCTTCCTTCTTTTCCTTGCCATTTTCTCACCATGCGCTCTTAATGGAAAGAACGGAAAATTTCATTAGGAGACTGATGTATCTTAACTCTGCCTCACAGCTGTCACAATAATCTTTTTTTTTTATTGGCTTGTGGAAATGAATGTTAAATTCACAGGTAAAAATCTTTCGATAAGCAACGAGTTTTGTGGCATCCTCAACACTACCTTTATACAAGCCATACACTTTTGACACATTAAGGTCTCAACTTAAGTACCTGTATTTACAAACTGGAAGATTGACGGCAGTGAAGCTCAATGACCAGAAAGGGCTTCATGGGATTCCTTCCTTTCTCAAGTCTCAACTCTGATGTCCTTTTACCCACATTTTTTTTTATTTTAATTTGGTACACCTGTTTCATATCAGGAAAATAACAGTCTTTTCTGATTTATATGGAGTGTCACTTGGAAAGATTCTTCACAAACACAGACAAGTTCACCATTAACTTTAAAAAGGTATGGATAAGAAAACTTTCTCCAGCTGTTATCAGTTAATGTATGGGTGTAGGTTTTAAGTGTATGACTAACATATTGTCACGTGTTGGGTGTATAACGAGACAAATAACTTCACGCCGTATTGGATATAGCAAATTTTATTTCACATTCACTCTTACAATCACACAATTTACAGATTCACAACTACTGCCATCGGCAGTATCAGAAATACTAGACTGACTACAATTGACTGGCTGACTTCCTGGCCAACTCGTAACTTGTAACTAACTTGAATAGTCTTCACTGCTCCTTATTTAGCCCGGTTCCGGACAACACAGAAAACAGCCACGTAACAGGCACCATTGTTGTCTGGCACCATGCTGCTAGCAACGCTGTCGGGAGTTGTTTATGGCTGCATAGCAACCGCGGCATCCCTTGGTCACGTCACCGCTGGCGGGGCAG